TCCTCCTCGCAGAGATCTGTTTCTGTCTCCTCAAAGCATACAACCGTACTGCCAACATGGTCACCATTTCCCAGCTCCCGTCGCTGGAGACACTGTGGAGTTGTTGTTCTCTGGCCGCGTACATTATCCCCCGGCTTAAGTACCACATCTGATTGATCCTTGAGTTGCTTCCGGAGTGTCGACTGGTTGCTGTCCAATCTGGGTGAGTTGTCCTCGCCAGCGGCATACCGATTCCCGGAGCTGCCCGATGCATCCTGCTTCTCCGTGCCTTCGTTTGGCATCAACATCGAAACCAGCTTTGGCTCGATGCTCAGCTCGTATTCCGTGAAATCGAACAACGGCGGCAGACGCCGTCCGTTGGGCAGCTGCTGGCCGGGATCGTTGCGCAGCTCATCGAAGAAGGAATGCGCACAGGCCGACAGAGGCGTTATACGGTCATTAGGTGTGTAGATAAGCAGCTTGGATACCAGATCTATGGCCTCGGGCGGTGTGCGAATGCGAAATACCTTGGGCCAAGGATGCGCCTTTAGCTGCGGCAACTTCAATTGCTTGTAGTTCGGATTCATGTCGTGGAGCTGTTCGGGCGTGGGTGTGCCCATCACCTTGACAATCTCAACGATCTGGTCCACGCCCGAGTCCCCGGGAAAGATGAGCTGACCCAGCAGCAACTCGGCCACCACACAGCCCGCACTCCACATATCGATTTTGGTGCTGTAATGCGTGGCTCCAAATATAAGCTCCGGAGATCTATAGTATCTGGAGCAGATATAGGAGACATTCGATTCACCCGGTGCCAGTTGCTTGGCGCTGCCGAAGTCGCACAGCTTGAAAACGCCCGTCTCCGTATCCAGGAGCATATTCTGCGGCTTGATATCCCGATGACAGAAGCCGTAGCTGTGCATGAAGGCCAGACTTCGAAACATCTGATACATGTAGAGCCGGATATAGTTGACGGGCAGCGTTTGCTTAGCGCGTGCATATTGCCGCTCCACTTTATAGAGCGTTTCGGGCATGAACTCCATGACCAGATTGAGATAAACATCGTCACGCTTATCGCCACTGGAATAGAAAAAGTATCGGAGGGTTATAATATTTGGGTGCTTAAGCCTTCGCATAATCTGGAGTTCGCGATTCTTGAATCGGCGATCCTGTAAAACCTTCTTTATTGCGATCGGCTCATTGCTGGGCATCAGCTTGGCATGAAAGACAACGCCGAAGCTGCCGTTCCCAATGATCTTGCTGTCCATATAACTGATCTCGGTCATCGTGTCCGGGCCGTAGCCGGCGGTGGCCACCACAGTGGTCAGCTTGTTGTTCATGGTGGAACCCTTGGCAGCCATTTTGATTTCTAAAAATTGATTTATTTCCCTTGATTATGTAATCTGTTCGCTTATTTACTTTTTTAAATAGATATATTTTTTTTGTTCTGTTTTTGACTCTGTTTCAGATTTTTATACAAAAGACAAATAATAATGACCTAATTTATGGGGGACTAGACTAATGAATCAGCCTTTGAAGACATAAGTATATTGGCTATTGTTTTCTATATTTTTGGTTAATTCCTATGTCCCTATTTTACTTTGGTTGTTCTACCGACCTGTAGGTCAATACCTACTTGATTTGCACAGTCAACACGTCATTTATTTGCCAACTAATCGACAGTAATTGAAAAGTTCTCTCTTCTCCTGGTCGATTCGTATTTTATAGTATATAACCCAACAGTCATTTAATGGGTTTCTCTCTCAAGAAATATATTTTATCTGGCTTATGCTTAATCCACAACCTGCGGTTAGGCAATGCTATATTTATCGTACTGACTACATCATGCTGAGTTCTGTAAGCAAAGAGCTTTTCAAATTATTTTAAATACGCGTCTCGTTTCAAAAATCAATATTAGTTGCGAGCGAGAACTGAGTGCTATTAGTTCAATCTGAAAAGTGTCCGACCGTAGTGAATTATAAACCGCGTGACAAACATGAGTTTAAGTACAGAAATTATAAAATTTCTGTTGATTTTGTTCAATGTCTTGAGTTAGGTAAATACAAGAAATGTTTCATCATACTCATTCACGAAAGTGAAATGAGTATATTGGGTCAGTGCATGTCCGTTTTTTTGTACGGAACACATATGCTCTAATTATAAAGTGTCAAGATTTTCTCGATCCCCCCATTTGAGCGTGGCTAATGGTATTTCAGCAGCCATGGAATCCGGTTTCTAAGCAATGACCAAGAATTAAACAATAACGCCTGCTGGGGCGTGGCGAATTGAATCTGAATATATAGCGATTTCTACCAAATCTGCTTTTAGAATATCAGTGCTTTAAAGCTTCAAATCTAGAATATATACTCAGATTGTCAGCTCAAATTCAATAGGCAGCAATAGCACATACATCTACGTCCATAACTGTTAAAATTAGGAAATTAGAATAGCTGTAATATAGACAAAGCTATGCCCATATTATGCACTGCTCGCTCGTTTAAACGATAATTTTTTTCTGACTGCATGCCGGACGATCAACGTAAATATACTATATATTTCTCATCACGATAAGCACCAGAGCAACAATACCTGATCCGTTCTAAAACTGCTCGTTGTTTGTTTCAAATAATCATTCAAATTCATAATCAAATATGACATTCTGAGCTGTCAGAGCATGCCTGACTGTTGAGGTGCAGGGTAGCACCTAGTCGGGCACCTGCCAACACAGTATTCTTATCTCTCTGATACTTAGTGTAGCTTTCTACTCTTATGCGCATTCAGTTGTAACTCAGGGAATTCTTTTTGTTTGCTTCAAGTTGGCTAATTTCGGGTCCTGGGCATTTCACGTCCTTGTCCACGTTCGACTTGAAACTTGTTTGCCATTGTTCTCTGTGCTGTGCTGTGCTCATTTGCTTATCGGGCGAGGTTCAGAGGTTTTGCTGTTTCTCTTCCACCCTGGGGTCAATAATAACGAGGGTAGATAGTAGATGTTGTATAAAATGCTTTTATTTTTGCAGTTATTTTGTATGTAGTATATCGTTTATGTATATATATATGTGTATATATAAATATACATATATATACATAAATATATATTAGATATATAAAAGTAACACACTCATTGTAAAATCTTGTTAGACACAGATACATATATAATATTTAATTTTAAGTATTCGTTATTTTTTTTTTATTAGCTGTTGATTTTGAAATATTTCCCATTTAGTTTCGTTTAAGTGCTAAAAAATCGATCAACTTACAAAGGGTATTATATTTGTTTGTTATTAGATTTATGGTATTTATTTCATATATGTATTTCTTTTATAAGTATTTTTAATTAGACCACAAAAAGTTTGTATTTTATTTTATTAAAATTAAAATTATTTTTATAGTGGCAGTGTTGTAACTTAGGAGCAGATGGGCAACGGCTAAAATAAACTCATATTTACATAATACACACACACACATAGGCAGATACACACACACACGCCCACCCACTCACACACACACACACACAACAAACCATAGATAAACAGATATTTGCGCTTAAATTAGTTGCAAATGATTAAACTAAATTGGGCTTAAAATATGCTCGATGTTAGTGTGCTGTATGTTTGTATGTGTGAGTGTGTGTGCGTGTGGGTATGTATGTCTGTAAGTGTGTTTATTTGCGTGCTTGTGGGTTTGTTCTTTGTGGGCTGCGCTTACATAAATATTATTGAAATTGCTGGACGTTGTTGGCATAAGTAAGTAAGTTGTTTATTTTTATTATAGCTAGTTTTATAATGTTTGACATACATACATATGCATATTTACTTGTATCTGTATATATATGTGTAATATAATTTTATTAAAATTACATTTATGAGCTACTTAATAAATTTATTTGGCTTTGCTTTTCTGCTTCCGCTTCTTGTTAAATTTCTCCATTGAAGTAAAATTAAATTTTACATAATTTTCATGCTACTTCTGCGGCATTATTTGTATGCGTATCAAATTGGTTCTTAGTAGTTAATAAAAAAGCATATTTAATTTACTTGCAGGCTTCCCAAATACACACACAGACAAAGACACACACACATATATTCGAAAGCAACGCACGCATAACAATAAAATTTTATATTTATCGCTAACGATTTCCTTGGCCAGGAAGCGCAAGTGTCTTTGTTGTGTGTGGGTGTGTATGTTTGTGTCTGTGTGGCTAAGCCTCAACATACATACATATATATATATATATATATATATATACTCGTAAGCATAAATATATTTTTCTGCTGCCTGCTTTCGGGCGTCTGCCTTTTGCTGTCTGTGCGGCACGCATATTTTAATAAATTTTATGCCGCTGAAATGCGCGCCGCTTATCATTAACGCACAATTTATTTTTGCTTTTATGTTGGTGGTAGTCTTATTGTTGTTGCTGTTGTTATTTGTGTGCCTTCTTATCTGTGAGTTACATTTGCTTTTTTGGCTTTTTGATTATTTGCTGCGCATCGTAAGCTATTTCAAAAATTCGTCGTATTTTTGTTTGTTTGTTTGTTTGTTTATTCTTTTGCATGCATATTTTAAAGTGTTTTGCTTAGCTAATTAGTTTTAAGCATCTGTACACACGCACACGCACACACACACACACACACAGGCAGTCATACTCTAAACACATACATACTAAAGATTCGTTACAGACATTATCTATTTACATGTTGGCAGAATGTACATTTAATTTGCAACGACAAAGCCCGCAACGTTGTTGTCGATTCGAAAGTTTTGCGCAACTTTTGGCCCAACGGCTTTTAAATGTTGTTCAGTGTTGTTGATGTTGGTTGCTGGTTGCTAGTTTCTGATTGCTGGCTGCTGGCTGCAGTTGTTTTTGCGTTGCATACTTTTGTGCGAGCGCCCGCATCTAGTTTCCATTTAACTTTGCTCTTACACGTGATGTGGCCATTGTTGATGCTGTAGTTGCTCAGAGCCATGCTTGTTGCTGCTGCTCGAACAGTTGCTGCTGCTGCTGCTGCTGCTGTTGCTGGTGTTGTTGTTGTTGTTGCTGCTGCTGTTGCTGTTGCAGCCAAAGTTTGCAGAAAGCAGTTGGCGGGGGTGCCGAAGCGCAAACTGTGGCAGCTGCTACTGCAACGTGCTGCTGTTGTTGATGTTGCTGCTGTTGGTGCTGTTGCTGTTGTTGTTGCTGCTGCAGGCTCTGGCCGTGGTCGTTGTGGGCGGGCGTTGGCTATTGCAAATTAAATTTAGCTAATTCTCACAATTCTGTGCTCATTTCGCTTACAATTGCGCTCTGCATTGTTGTTGTAGTTGTTGTTTTAGCAGTTCAAGTTGATGTTGCAGTTGCAGTTTGATGCGGCATGAAATATAGAGAAGCAAACATTTGTATATTAGAAAAAAGTTAAAGGTTGTTCCTTCCCCTCGCTATGAGCAATTACATGTGGCTAATCCTAGTTGTGAAGTGCGTGTGTGCATTGGCATGTGATTGTGGTTGTGTGGTTGTGTGCTGGTGAATTTGTTGGTGGTTAGTTTGTGTATTTTTATGTGTGTTTTTCTAAACTACTGTGCGTATACGTTATGCGTTTAAATACACAAAGCGAACATAAAAGCTCTTAAAATATTACAAACTTTATGGCCGGACAGCCATTAAATTATTTAAGCGCTTGAAAAAAAAAAGGAAAATTTATATAATATTTTTGTAGTGGTTGCTGAATGTATATTTGTTTTTATTATTATATAGTTGTGGCTTTTTGGGCGCCGCAACAACTCAAATAATTACTTCACTCAATCATAACAATAAAAAAAAAAAAACAAAAAAAAACAAAAAAAATAGAAACCAAAAGTAACAAATAAAAAATGTGGCCAGCACATAATTCTGTAGCTGGCGTTGTCGACTTTTTATATAGACATTTATAAGCTTATCTCTCTGTCTCCGTCTTCGCCCCAGCCCCCACCACCGACTCGGCCAGCGCCAGCAAATTGCGTGCCTCAAATTTACGAATGCCACTGCGGCACTTTCAACATTTTCAGCACTTTTTTCTGGCCCCCATACCAATATTTAGTGTTTTTGTTGTTTTGCTGTTGGCCAAAAACTGCGTAAAGTTTTGCCGGGCCTTTTGCTTTCTTACTTTCACTTGCCCCCTCAGCGTGTGGCACAGAATGTCGCGAATCGATGTGCAAAGCAAACGAAACGAAAGGAAACGATACCAGAACTTGGCTCTCGACAAAGAGCAGTACTTTTTGGTTTATACACTATACACACGCACAGACTATCCTGTTAAGGGACAGACAGAGACATGAGCTTGATTTTCTCCAATGAGCGACTTCAGCCATAGCGGATCACAGTCGAAATTTCAATTTGATTCTCATTAGAAAACAGCCCCAAACAGTTGGTCAAAAGCAACAGAAACAAAATGTACTAGATATTGTGGATACAAAATGTTTAATTGGAGCTGAGCACCATTAAAGTAGGTTCGACTTATAAGCAGATCTTAATTTGGGTCTGAAGTCTAAGAATTTTATATGAATTTAATTTTGACAAAAAATTCGTTAAATTTAGAAATGGAAAACTTCGAGCAAGTAGAACTTCTTTTTGCTTTAAAATATTATTTATATATACATATTATGTATATATAATATATGTATATTAATTTTATATATATACAATATATTCTATAATTTGATTGCATTAATAGGGTATTTAGCGTTCCATTTCGACTTTTGTTGCTTTTTGTTTCAGTTTTTCCCACTGTCCTTTGTCTATTTGACTGGGCAAAGTATTTGTGCGATATGAAATTGTTCTAGTACGCGGAGCCTTTTTGCCTTTCGTCGCCTTTGTTTTCTTTTTTGTTGTGTTGAAATTTGTATTTATGTTTGGCTAGAGGTCTGGCTGGGCACATGGACGAGCACACAGAGCGGGAAACGTCATTTGCCCGGCGTTCGCCTACCCTCGTAAATTTTAATGTTTTTGCTTTTCTGCTTTTGCCAGGGCCATCATATTTTCAGCTGTGCCTGTGTGTGTGGGCTCATTTATTTGTGTGTTTGCCCGATATGTGTGTGTCTCTGTGTGTATATGTTTGGTGAAAATTATGTATATTTTTAGCACTTTCGCTTGTTTTGTTTTCGCTTATCGAGTTTGAAGGTCATTTGCTTAGCTTTCATTGCAATTTTTGTTGTCGCTTCTACCCGAGCTGGAATGGGTGTGCGTGTGCGTGTGCGTGTGTGTGCCCTTGAGTGTGATATCATATCTTCATATAGTATGCCTGAAATGGATGTTTGCCTGCCTGGCTGCGCAGTTAATTTGTTGTGAAATTGTCATTTTGTTGCTCAATGGCTGCGTGCAATGCGGCGTATGAGTAATATTTGTGACGGAACTCAAAACAAATGTAAATGGACGGCCAAATGTATGGCAAAGACCCTTCGGATGCTCTAATGAGGCGCAAACAGAGCCAGGCCGGCAATCGACAATGGGCCAGCCAAGGCCTGGGCACAGCAAAAAGGCCATACTTGGACCCATTCTCAGTGCAGGGGCAAATTTCAATTGACATGTTTAAAGTTAATTTGCGCGCTGCCTGAACTCTGGCTCATAAACAAGACAGCTGGCACGCCCACAATCGAGTCAGCCCCCAGTGGCATACCCTGCCCGCTGACATTAACCTATTCATTTGTAAATGGGCTGTCGAATTTCGTTGTGGCATTCGCATTGTCTTCGCGTCACATAAATATTTGTGCGCCTTTTGCCATGCCGAGCGTAAAAACGTAGTCGGAGTAGCAAAAATAAACAAACAAAGACAGGAGCACAACAAGGAGCAGAGGCAGAGGCAGAGGCAGAGACAGAGGCAGAAACAAATGGCGAGAGGCAGTCAAATCAAATGTAAATCCAAAATGAAAGCAAACGCACCAAGTGAAATTGAAATGAAAACGAATGTAACGCGGAAAAGTCTTTTCCATTTTCCTTCATTTCCCCATCATTGACATCGTTGCCGTTGTTGTTGTTGTTGTTGTTATTGTCGCTTCCCGTTGTTTTCAGTCTTCTGGCAGGCAATTGAAAATTGGCAGCTGGCAAAGTGCTTTGCCTTTGGCTTCAGCTTTGACTGTGCCAACGCCCAAGGAGCCCCACTGCGAGGCTAAAGGCCAAAATCGAAAGCAGCCGCCAAGGGAGCTCCTGCCACACCCACACTGCCACCCTGCCACAGTGGCACAGTGCGTTGAGCCACGCATAGGCCTAACAGGCACATTAATACATAATTTATAATGTTTTTATTCTGTTTTATTTGGCTGGGGCTAAGGCGCTCTTTAAGCCATATCGTTATGTGTGCGCGGCTTGTAGAGCAGTTTGATTAAGAAATTTCGCGTCGAGGATGTGGATGAATATAAGTGATTTTACATTGAAGCAGCTGGGAGAATAACTTGAGCACCTTATTAAATAATATTGTTAACATAAACGTAAGATATTCAAGTAATTGAGTGGAGATAGATCGTTTGCTTAAAACTGAACTCAAACTGTTCGTAATTTATTCTTGAATTAAACTGCAATTTGTTGCAACGTGAACTGGTATACAAAAAAAATTGGCTTATTGATTGTTGGAGCATTACAATTCAAACACAAAGTCAATTGCGGATTCAATGCACATTCTCTGGGATCAAAGTCAGACTACGTTTCACTTTTAACGCTGTGGTTGCTGTATTTGCATGCGGGTGGGTCAAAGGGCGCACCTACTTAAGGCTAGACTTCAATAATACTTGCATTGCATGTATTTGCTTGTTAGCTACACACAAATTGATATTGAACTAAACAAATAAAAAAAAGAGGAAAAAGGAAACACTACTGAAAGAGCCAGAGAGCTCTGGCCAAACAAAGTTTACGGCAGAATTCAACTGAAATAAGAATAAGGGAAAAGAAAAACGAAAAGGAAAACTAAGAAATAAACTTACCGGCGACTACTTTGTATAATTGGCGATAGGATTATCTCTAAGCTGGAGGAAATGTTTTGATTTTGTTGTAAATTCGAGTGCGTATTGGAATTGGTTCGTAGTGAGTTCGTTGCGGCAGCAACTGTTGCAGCTGCTGCTGTTGTTGCTGTTGCTGCTGCAGTTGCAGTTGCAGTTGCTGTGGATTGGTGTTGCTGTTGGCTGGTGGGGGATGTTGGGTGGTCACTGGGTGGCGCATTCAAATTCGGATTGGCATTCGTATTGGAGTTGGTTTGGCTACTATTGCTATTGCTATTGCTATTTGCATTCAATGTGGGACAATTTAACGTTTGGTTGGCTTTTGTAATTGGCAATGCTTGTTGCTGCTGCTGCTGCTGCTGCTGCAGATGTTGCTGTTGCTGTTGCTGTTGCTGTTGTGCATTGGTGTCGTTGGCGCACGGCTGACCACTGTAGACATTCGCATTGCAATTATCTAGATTAATATTGGCCAAAGCGGAAATGGATGCCACTGTTGTTGTTGTTGCAATTGCATTACGATTGCTATTGCTGTTGGGGCTGTTGCTGCTGCTGCGGCAGTTGTTGTTGTTGTTGTTGTTATTGCAGTTGCTGTTGCTATTGCTGTTGCTGTTACTGGCACTATTGTGGCTGCCCGTGGGTGACATCAAGGGAATGTCAGCATCAAACATATCCTCTGCCTCAGCGGCCTCATCGTCATACACATCATCGGTGTCTTCGGTTTCATCATTAGTTGTGGTCGCATCCGGTCGAAGGGCCTCCAAAACGGCCATCACCTCGTCCTCCTCGCTGCAGGAGTGCGATGAATGCATTGCCTGTGCATTGCGATGGGTTTTTGCGTTTTGCGGATTTTGATTTGAGTTTTTGTGGAGTATTGTTGGGGGTATTGAAAACACAAACAAGGTTTAGCTCTCTTGCAGGGACTTTGGGTCTACATACAATTATGAACTAGAACAGGCACTATATATACAGAATCACGAATTTAGCACAACTCATCATGCACTTGCAATAGGAAATATGTTTAGCCACAGATTTAATCAAATATTATTGCTGCTAATGCAACATCAACATTAGCAATAGACTAAACAAACAATAAATAATTATTATTACTATATATAGGGGCAAACATGCGCCATGCTTCACTTATTACTAATAATGCAATATGTACGGTAATAAATATAAAATAATAATGTAGGCACATACATGTAGCACAAATCAAAAAACTTCGCTGATTGTGTACTTTGGTGTAATTGAAATTGAATTTAAAAATCAGCTGCACGAGCTGGCGATGTATGCACATAAATTTATTATTAGATCCGCAGGCGGGCAAATTTTAATTACATACATTCAAATCCTACGTAAAATACTCAGCAACAACAACAACAACGACGACAATTCACAGCCACAACAATGTGAGCAACTGAATGCCACATGCCAAATGCCAGTGGATGGAGTGTAACAAAAGCTCGCCTGATTGCGTTCATAAAGTGACCGCCGGCTAAACACCTGACCAAAATCGGGTAGTCGAGACAGCAGGAGGTGGTTTGAATTGGATGCTCATGCCACAGGACATGCTCTCTGCGGTTTACGATTGATTGCATTCCCATGTTGCTATTGTTGTTGCTACTGTTGCTGTTGCTGTTGCTGTTGATGTTGCTGCTATAGAATTTGAAGCTGACAAAACCCAAAGTACAACAACCACAAAAAGGCAGCCCGTAAAAACTCTTAAGCTAACCAAAATACATTCAAGTTCCCTTGAGACTTGAAAAAGTCCAGCTGGACAACGAAAATATTGCTATTTTATAATTTAGAATTTCATGTGTGCTAAATGAATTTGAGCTTTATTTAATTAATCGATAAATGTTTCATTAAATTAATATAAACTTATTCGAAATTGAATTAATTTGGTAATTGAAACATCTTCAGCTGTTCCCTCTTTATGCCGGCGACTCAATCTCAATACACTTAAAAGCTCATTCAATTTGGCCAAAGACATGTTTGCCGTAGCAGATTTGCTGTTATTATGATTGAATTCATACCCACACACACACACACACTTAGTTCTGGGCACATGTGGCTGAAGGTAAACATAATGTTTCCTTACCTCGACTCCACTCAATGTTCGTTGGGAGTACAGACATATTCATTGGTAAATAAAAACAGAAAGGTGCATTCGCAAAGGGATCTTTAGTTAGCATATGGCTATCTATGTGTCTGTATCTTGTGGATACAAACACTTGAGATGCTGGTACATGTTCTCTCTCTCTCTCTCTCTCTCTCTCTCTCTGTCTTCGTGTGTGTGTGTGTGTGTGCTGGCAGCTTATGCTTTTGGCAGGCAGCTGAAACTTTGCTTATGTCTGGCTAAGTTTGTTTTGTGAATTTTCTTGAAGTTTGTTTGATTTGCTATTAATTAAAATTGCATTCAACTTGAAAATTGTATTTGTTGCCTTAAGAGAGAGAGCTTATCCGATGAGAGTACGCCAACGCCTTCAGCCATTCCATCAATGATCAAGCTTGAATTGTAGCCTAATGGAAACACGTACGGGATTGCGTAAATCAGCATGAATGAAGGCCGCAGAGTGGGTGGTGCAGGCATTCCTAGCTTTTGGCTGAATGTTGAAATTTAATTAATTTTCCTCCACTTTTGTGGGTGTGCCCTTGTCTATAAACATGTGTGTGTGTGTGTGTTTGTCCGTGTGTGTTAATTAGGCATAGTATAAAAGCTCACACACACACACGCCCCTTGGCTCTTTGGCCCGAACGCAAATGCATCAAATTGTCTGACAAAAACGTTGGCGGCCATGAAACGCCCCCCGCAATTAGCAGAGCCCGCTAAAAAGGACTCTTTCAGGGTCTGGCAACTGTCAGGGCCAACTGCCAGCAGGCGTGTCAACACACTCACTCGTCTAGATAATTATTACCCACATTCCCCAAGCTCTCATTTTTCCACTATTTGCTCAACTGAGTATTTTGTCTGCATTTTTTCATGCAATGCCATCAAACAAAAAATAAAAATATTGAAAATGTTTCTGTTACAAATAAAAGCTCACATAAATATTAAAAGCGACAGATGTCCACGGCCAAAAGACAAAAGACCAGCTTAGAGCGTACATACATAAAAAGGTTAAAACTGAAAAAACGAAAACAAAATAAAACAAAAAGTTAAAATAAAAAAGTATTTAGCCGTCGTCTATTGTCTGAATGATGCATAATTAAATCACTCGCTGTGTGGTATAAATAATAAATTCAATTGTAAAACAAACTTTTTTCCAACATTTTCCGCACTATTTGAGTCGTAAATTGTTTTCTGCTCATAAATCAATCGCCAGTGCAAAAATATTTGCTTTTTGTGCTATTTTCCCATAGATTTTCTCTTTGTTTTGCTTAAAGTTTTTTCTGCATATAGAAAACAACAATTTGAAATGAAAACCCACTGTGTGGCTTATATTGATGAAGTTCTAATGCTTTTCCATTCCAGTTGGGGCCGCGCACCGGTAGCAGGCAAAAATATGAATAAAATTTGCAGAGCTGTCTGCTTTTGTTGTTTTATTAAAACTTTTTCAATTGCGAACTGAATGTAATAATATATGGAAATGCTAACGAGTCATGGCATGCGCTTAATTTTATTTTGTGAATATATTTTTTTGCAGTTTTGCTGGATTGCAATAATGCATGTTTACTTAATTGGAAAGTGATTTTAATTGATATTGCAAAAACAGAAACAATTTGAAGCGTTTGATAGAAACTTTACCGTTGTTATGAAATTATTGCATTTACTGCAATGATAATAAAAGTTATATTTAAAGTTACATTTTTGAAATGCCTCGATGCTGTGCTCTCACTCTTATTCAATTATTGCATTTATTTTCCAATTGCATTTGGTTACACTTTTGACTTCATGATATTACGCTGGCTGGAAAGGCCGTTTAAGTGAAATGGCCTTAAGCCAAATAAGCCTGGCCATAAGTTGTCGCTTTTATTGTTTACCAATTGTGTTAATCTAGCATTTGTTAGTGTATGTCGCCTTAGGGCGACGTAGAACAACAACAACAATAGCAAATAGCAAACAATATTAACAATAGCAATAACAACTGCAGGCGCTTGCTCAACTCTTCAGGGGGCAGCGTGAAGTGCGCACCACTGGCCAGAAGACGGCAACAACAACAATCGAAACTTTTGGCACATTAAATCAGTAAATTTATTGACTTAACTGCTTTGGCAAGGACATGCTACATGCTACATGCTACCGCCACGCCCACACCCATGCCCACGCCCATGTTTGCCTTTTGGGCTCAGTATCTTTTTTGCAGCGTGTGGGTCTGGCTTTATTGCTATCTCTGTTGTTCTGCCCGTGGCTGAGTTCCCTAAGTTCCTGACTTGCTCCTTGCTGTGCTGTCATAATTTTTGATTTGCTTGTTTTATTTGATGTCCTTTGGCTGTTGCTGTTGCTGTTGCTGCTGCTTCTGCTTCTGCTGCTGCTGCTGCTGCCAGGCGCTGTCTTCGCTTTGCTAAGCTGCCTCCAGCTTAGAGAAAAACAATTTTGCAAAATTTATTTTATAGCAAAATTATGCCAAACATTTCGAGAATGTTTCTATGTAGTGGCTGTTCTTGCTATGAAGGCCATTTGTGACACACATAAATACACACACAAGCGCATGCCACATGTGTGCGAGTGAGTGTGTGCGTGTGTAAGCGGGTCGAGCTACGCTCTCACAAAATTTATTTAAGAATTGTAAGTATTTCTGCTGTGGTAGCTGCGAAATTTGTGCCATCAACTTGGCTTGAAATTATTTGCTTGGGCAACCCACTGGACCCACTGTGAGCACCACCCCGCCTCTCGCCTTTGCTCTTACATAAACTTGGATAATGTAGCGCAAATAGTTGCTTATTATTTATGCTGCTTTATTGCCCTCCAGCCTCAGCCTCAGCCTCATCCTCATCCTCAGCCTCAGCCGCCACTGCTCTGGCCCACAATATCTTTTGCTTTTCGAGCAATTTGTTTGTTTGCTAGACAAAAATTAGTTGGCATATTTCTCTTGTTAATTAGTGGTGCGTGAAATTGAGCCCGAGTTTATGTCTGCCAGTCTGTGTGCTCTGGGGCAGCGCTTTAAGATGGTCCATGGAAAATCCTTTCATCAAAAATTGATTGATCAAACTGAGCGGGAATGTATAAATCATGGGAAGCTTTGCTCTGTGCCCGGCGATACATGGAATCGCATATACATTTATCTCAAAACACATTACTGCAATTATCTGTATCTTAAAGATACGTGGCTTGAATGTGTGTGTGTGTGTGTGTGTGTGTGTGTGTGTGTGGCCTCGCTCCACGCCTACTTTCGCGCAGTCTATTTAAGTTAATTAAATTCCAGTCTATGCGCCAGACACCGAGCGCAGATAGCAGCAACTTTATTTGCAGACAGCGCGTCGTTTTTGATAACCCACACAAAGGAACAGACACAGACACACTCACACTCGCAGGCGCCCACACACATGCAGAGATGAGTGTGTGCATGCATAGATAAGTGTGCATGTAACTAAAGCCAGAGCAGGAGTCCTTCTGGCCAAAGCACTGGCCAATGTTACAATGTTTACAATGAGTCTTACAAAATAATCAACATAAAAGCTTCAGTTACTTATTAGACGAAAATATAAGAGAGAACAGTACGTAAAAATGTGTACATATAAATGTATATATGTATATGTAGTCATATATATAGAAGCTAGAAATTAAGTATACGTTATGAGTGCAGGGCCTGGCCTTGCCTTGCCACTGCTCGTTGCAGTGACAGTGGCAGTGGCAATTGCCGTTGCCGTTGCAGTTGCAGCTAAGTACATAAGAAACGAGGTGCTTAAGATAGTACAAATAAAATACGAATTCAATTAAAAGGCGGCAAATATCAAATGAAAATAAAACACAACAAAACTTGAACTTAAGCAGCTAAGTACGCACACAAAGGGGGAGAGACAGTTGGTGGGGGGGAACATGCAACACAAACAAGGATGCGGCAAGACAAAGGACGGTGAAACAACAACAACAATAACGATACGAGGCAAGAGTAACAACAACGAAACATGCTACAGGTTGACGCAACATGCGTAAGAGATGCGGGACTGCACCTAGAGCTTACTCACAGTTTGCTGCGCTGAGGTGACATTCGATGGCGCGATATTCTGTCCATGCTGCAGATACACTAATGGCCCACTGCTGCCCCCAGTGCTAGTGGCCCCGCCACTCGCCGACGCCGACGCCTTCGGCTGCTGCACAATGGGCGGCTGCTGTGCGGGCATGACGGCGGCGCCTTTGTCAAACTGATAGTACATGACATCGTTGGCGGGCGCCGAGCCACCGTACAGGGGCGCTGGCGGTGGCGGGGGATCCGCTGTCTGGGATCCCGAAATGTGATACGCGCTGGCCAGCTGCTTGGGCGAGCCAGTGCCGGAGCCGGTGCCCGAGCCGGTGCCCGAGCCGTTGCCAGATCCAGAGCCAGAGCTAGTGTTGTTAGCAAGGCCCGGCGGCATCTGCGGCATTTTGTAGTTGTAGATGTAGGGACGCTCGTACTCGCCGCCATGGATGTAGGACAAGAAAAGATCAGATTTGGCCGGCTGCAGGCCAAAGCCACCGATGTGTGGGGCGCCACCAGCTCCGCGGTGGCCCAGCGCACGATTGTAGCCAGCGTTGGAGACGCTGCTGCTGGCATAGTGGATGGGATAGCAGCTGGCATTGGCCAGCTGAGAGCTGCCGCCCACTGCACCACCGGTGAGCAGCTGCGTCTTTGTCAGACTCTGGCCGGATAGACGACGCGTGGGCACGCCAATATCCGATTTGGCATCGCGCCGCTTGACCTGCGCCGCACTGGACGATGGGCCTTGGTAATAGTATGGGGCAGCCGGATTGTTTGGCCACTCGACGAAGCTGCGTTGCCTGCTGAAAGCACCACCACCACCACCACTAGCTGACACCATGTTACCCGTGAGATTGCTGCTGCTGTTGCAGCTGGCAACGCCGCCGCCGCCCGACCCTTTGCCCAGCGCATTGTTCAAACTGAACTTGTACTGATTATTCTCAAAGGTCGTGTAACTTAGCAGACGATTGCCGGTGCCGGCGCCGGCGTTGCTGCTGCTGCCGCCCGAAGATGAGTTCGGCGGCGTTGAGTTAGTAGCTGAGGCAGATGCGCTATGCACCGGTGCCAGGCTCGGGTTGGGATTGTGATTCGGGTTAGTGGACGAGGAGGAAGCGTATTTGTAATTGGGCTTCTGCTGGCGCTGCTGTTGTGCGAATAGTGAGCGCTGCTGTTGCTGTTGATTACTCACAGTCTGTTGCATGAGGCTGTTGTAGCCGCCGTTGTTGCCGCCGCCACCGCCACCACCACCACCACCACCGGCGCTGCCAATCGACTTGCGGTGGCTGCCACTTGAGGCGCCGGAGGATTTGTTGGTGCCATAGCGTGTGCTGTCGCTGGACCTGCCAAAGATTCAAAACAATAGGTGGTGAAACAATGTGGAAGAAGAAGTTTCAAATGATTAAAGTTATCATAGTCGTGGGTCAATTACCTTTCCGAGGAGTAGGCATAGTCCTGATCGGCGCCCAGTCCCGAGTCCGTGTGCTCATGCGAAACGCGCAGCGTCGAGTTCTCCAAGGGGCTCAGATTGGAGCCGGTGGGCGAGATAAAGTCACCCATGCTCATGCTAGACATCATGCTGCGAGCGATCAAAGAAACGAGATATGGAGAGATGTGAATTCCGACGACTTTCCTATGCGATTCTCTCTTGGGACTTACCGCACTAGGCCATGCCCATTGTTGCGCTCGCATTCTCGTGAGGAGATTGTGCTCGCCGAGCGTATGGATCCGTTCTTGGGTGCACCACCGCTGCCGCCCACGCCGCCGACATTGCTATCATGCGGATGAGAGCTTTGGTAGTAGAGTCTACAAATCGGCAATATGAGAAACTGCCCGAAGCAGTCCTAAAACTCTGTGGCTCAACTCACCCTCGAATGCGATCCACTCGATTCTTCGCCTGCCCAGCTCCGGCCGAGCCGCTGCCGTTCGTGATTGTGTTGCCCGATCCGGTGCTCTTGGCGCCCACACTGCTCTTGCTGTTGCTCTTGTGGATCTTCAGATTGGAGTTGGAGCGCTTCGAGGTCGTCTCCACCACGGTGTAGGGTATCTCGCGCAGCTGCTGCTCCGACATGCCGGCGGTATCCACCAGATCGAACTGCAGGTGCTTGGCCAGCTCGCTGTTCCACATGCGACTGCGGGACTCCGACGGAGATCTGTGGGTTAAACAATGTAGGCTTCGAAATTTCAATTGACCCACCCAGTTGCCTTACTTGTTCTTGCGGTGCCGACGCGACTTGTGGTGCGAGTGCGTGTCCGAGTGACTGTCGTTGCTGTGCAGACTGCGTGCCACCATGCTGCTCTTGGACACGGACGCCTGCTGCACGGAGCTCTGGCCCAGACTCGCCTCCGCCTGTCGGCGTTGCACCTCGCGCCACTGCGTGGTTGAGTCAATCAGCTCGGCGCTGCCGCTGCGCATGGACGAGCTGCGATGGCCCGAGTAACTGCGTCCCCTGGTGCTGTCATGATCCGAGCCACCAGCCGAGTCGCGTCGATGCCGATGCGAGCGTCGATGCTTGCGATGATGCGAACGTCCCGAGCGACCCGAGCCACGCGACAGCTCGCTCTCATTGTCGGAGGTGCGGCGATGGCGATGCTTGTGTCTGTGGGAGTGGAGCACGTGAGTCTCTCGGTGTGATAATGGGAAGCCATCTGGACTTACCGGCGTGTGGAGCGCGAATCGTTTGATGAATGACTCTCCACGGAGCTGGAGCGATAACGCTGCTGCTGCTGATGCGAGGCGGATGAGGAGCTGGCGCGCTGCTGCCGCTGCTGATGATGCGACGACGACGAAGATTGCTGATGATGATGATGATGACTCGTACCATGGCCATGGCTATGACTGTGGTGATGATGCAGCCCGCCGCCCGTGGTGCTCACCGAGCGCACCGAGCGCGGACTTGACGGATTGTGGCCGAAGAGCGAACGCTGCTGGGATCTCGGCCAGGGTGCGCTGCGCGTGCTGCGCGGCGAGTCAGGTGTCTGCAAATTGCTGCCATTGTTGTTGTAGCTGCTGGAGTTGTTGTTCTGCTGTGCGGACTGCTGATGGCTGGGCCGCACACCCAAGCTGGTGGGTATGCTGTACGTGGAGCGGTAGGGGCTGTCGTAGTTGCTGCAAAGCCAACAAATGTGGGCAGGGTATACAGAGAGAGTGAGAGAGAGAGAGAGAGAGAGGGAGAGAGAGGAAGGTGGATAGTATCAGTCAGCAATTGCAACGCTCTCTCGCATTATTTTGCCATAAATTTAAATTGTTTAACATAAACGTTGATTAAAGTCTGCAGCATCGCAGCATTTAGGCTGTCGCTTGAATGGCCTCTGTCTGAGGATCGGGGCTTGCCAGGAGGATCGTCCTCACCCATCCAGCCAGTCAGATCGACACAGACAAATAATGCGCGTGTGTAAAATTGAGTAATTGCCGCACCGGCAATCAGCGGGCAATCATTTCGAGCTCCCCATCGCAACAGACATGGACATGGACATGCACTTGGCTGTGGACTCCCCGGACGTGCCATTGCTCCGGTCGCGCCTTGTGATTTATGTCCCGCTTGCCCATGGTGTGGGCAACTTGATTGGCCTGTCCTGGCTGCCACTGCGCCCGCTGCCTGACGTTTGGCTTCTTTGTTTGCAAATGATAAACGACGTGAGCGTCTAGCGTCTAGTTCTTAGTTCTTAGTTCTCAGTTCTCAGTTCTACAATTCAGTTCGCCTCAGCCCTGTGCTGATCTACGCTTTCCTGTGTTCCTAGGAAATGTTGCGCCAGCGATTACATTTGTGCGCTGCCACAGCTCGTAGGCTCTATTACCATTAGGGATAATTTATGCATGGCTGCTGGTGGCTTCTGCTCCAGCGACATTGATGGGGTCAACGACGGCCTTTGCCACTGCTCACTGTAAATGATTTGACTCGAAATCCACTGATCCGCACTAGAGTCTTGCATGGCTATCTTTCTATCAATCTGTGAGTTAATATTTCTCTGACAAAATTGATCATTCATTTGACTAATGTTCAATTGATCTCTGTACAGTATTCAGTTTCATAATATTCCTCTCCTTACAGAAATTTCTTGACAAATGCAGAGTTGATCTCAGCCCAGTGTTCCATTTCATAAAATGCCTCGCCTTAAAGAAATTTCCTGAACAACTATCGAATCACGTTTACCCCTCCTCATACATATACTATACTATGTATATAAATCCTGTTGTTGTCGACGTATGACTCAATTTCCATTAAAATCTCGTTCTCCTTGGTATAACATCTTGGCAACATTTCCGTTAACGCTAATGCCAACGCCAACGCCATAGCTTTTCTAATGGCTGATTTTTATTTGTCCATATATAATTTGATGTTCAGAACCATAAAACATTTAATAAATGTTGCGTCTAGACAATGTAACTGCCTTCAAATGGCAACTAAATGGATTTTGAGCACGAAATCGAAAAAAAGGGCAGCACAAGAACACATGCCACAGGAGCACCACTCGGATGAGGACATCGCAACAACAACAATAACAATAACATTCACTAAAACAATGTGAAGGCGGCGGCCTGTCAAACACAACTCGCACGCACATACACACACACACACATGTACACATGGGGCATGATGAAGTGTTTTGTGCATTGTTGTTTTCGCTTTTTTTTTTTGTAAATTCAAGTGATACAATAGAAGGAAAGAAATGAAACAGAGAGCGAGAGATAGAGAGGGCGACAGTTTCACTATGCCAAAACTGGGAAACTGCATATAAATTTTCCCCTTGGGGAACAGATACCGTATTTTGGGGCGGCTGCTGCAGACAGCCTCAAAAAACAAAATTCACATGTCGAAAATTAAAAACAGATCAAAGGAAGATGCTGCAATGAGCAACATGAGAGCACTTCCGGCTGGCGCGACTCCACAGAATTATGACCGAAACAAGAATTGGCCAAAAAATGAGAAAAAACATAGATAAACAAAAAAGGACAACTGCGCCAAAAGAAGTGTATACAGGGACTAAATATATATATATATATATGTATATGCATATATGCATGTATATACCGACATATAGAGAACTGATGCTGGGTAAATCAAAACTTTTGTGCATGAAATGAAAACAAATGATGGATATTTGGAGTACTCACTTGGCGTTGGCATTGCCACTGGTGTTGGCCAGGCTCTGGAGGGGCAGCGGCTGGGATGGCAGGGGTCGGTTGCCAATGTGGATGCCAGTGACGCCGCCAGCTCCACCTCCGCCGTTGCTGTTGAAAAAGTCATCAATCACGCGTCGGGGCTGGCGCTTTGAGGGCACGCGCGTAAAGGCGGGCGGCGAACGTCCGGCAGCAAGTGCATCCTTCTCCATTTGCTTGTCCGAGCGACTTTGGTTGTGGGTTGGTTGGGTTGGGGCAGACATGCGATTGTTGGGCAACATAAAAGTAGGCATGAAGGCGTCCAAAAATATTAACAGAAATAGGCAACAGAAAAAAACAGAAAAATAAAAACAATAATAGTACAAGATGCTGATGGTTCGCAATAATGAACAGTGAACCATAAAAAGGTTGTAAAAAACTTTCATTTGTTTCACAAATTAAAAACGCCCGTCGAGCCCGTCGAGCCTGTCGAGCGCTCGTAAAATGTTCGCTGGCGTCCCAAAACTTTTGGCCAACCACCCTGCCGGGCTAATAGTTTGCCAGTGTAGCGCTTGGCCACGTGAACTCGATTTAGACCAAGTTTGCGGCTGGCCAAGTGCAAGAAAGTTTCGCCCAGCAAATGGCCAGCCGCAGTCCCCGCAAATGGCTGTCATAAACATGAACCTGGACGTGGAGCAAACGGGGGCCAGCTCTGGTTCCCTGCCACATTCGTCATGCACAATTGCCTTGCATTTGTTGGCGGATTAGGCTCAAGCATTGCCACTAGATCCAACTCCAACTCCAACTCCAACTACGATTCCGATTCCGACTCCAGCTCCGGCCACAGCTTGGAGGCATTTCACAGAAAGTCATTAGTGGGTTTTGCGCTCGACTTGAGTTTGTCGGACTGCCTGCAGATCCGACATTTTTATTGGACTTCCAATTAGCTGGGCATTCGAGTTGGTGTAAACTTGATCTATGTCTGTGTGCAGCCATGTGGCTGCATCTATTAGAGATGCCACAACTTCAGCTGAGCCGGTTCGACTGAGCGCCATGCAGGTTAATCCCAAACTTTGCCCCTTCTTGGCTGGGCAGCCACTGAAATGTTCATTGAACGAGCTCATTTGAACGATTTGTGCAGCTCAGCTCTGAATCGAGCTGCTCTTTAATGATCTAATCACATGAGCTGCACATATACTGAATAGGACTTTGAGTGCTTGGTTACATTTTAATTGGCTGCACTTTTTGAAGCGCTGCAAATTGGCCGACTGGCTAATAAATTGGCCAAAAGCGCACAAACTCTGCATCTTGGCCGGGGTCCCAGCTTGAGTTTAATAACTTTATTTTAATACCGAACCAACACACACAAACACTCACACACACACACACACACACACACAGAGCCATCACCCACTCTCATGTAATTATACTTCCGGCAGATTGGGTTGCACACTTAAAGCACCTTTTGGCGCTGATGATGGAGCCGAAGCCCGTTGGGGAGGGCGTGGGGAGAGCACTCACCTGTGTCTGAAGCGGGAGCCCAGTTGAAACAAATCCGCAGCGTGTGACTGGGAATTGGGCAGAGGTGCAACGCGCACCTGTCTGAAGAACGCATGATGCTCCACGCAGCATCTCCACAAATGTTTGCACGCCGATTTGCGTGGAGTTTCAAAGCCATAAGTGCTTAGCTCATTCTGTGAAGAAGGTAGAAGGAATAACGCAAGTGTGATAAGCACCCAGTCAAGTCACGACGATGACGATGACGAGGACGATGGCGATGACGATGGCGATGACGATGACAAGGACGGAGATGCAGACGTGGACAGACAAAAGCTGCAGTTTTCAAGTAAAGGCAAATTGAGTGAATGAATGCCCGGCTGAATTCTGTGCCGCACCAATGTAAAGTGTGAATTCTCGACCAGGAAAAAAGCAAAAAAGAAAAAAAAAAAAAAAAAACACATCCGACTTCAATAAAAAACGAAAAAAAAGGAAAATGGTAAAGTTTTGCTTTTGTGTGCGTCAACTGCGCAAAAGTTTTTTGATTATCAAAGCGTTAGCACCAAAAAGTGTTCAAGTTAGGAAAGCTGACAAGGAGCTGCTAGCTGCTGGCTGGTGGCTGGCAGCAAGAGCTATCTGCTACCAGCTAACATCTACCAGCTACTTGTTGTCTAACGAGTGCTTCAGCTGCCCCACTTGAGGATGCTGACAGCCAAAAAGTTGTCACACAACGAAAAAATTGGCAACGCTGCAAAATGCTTTGAAAATGGAAACAGTTTTTCAGTGCATCGAAGCCTTTATACACTTTGCCTCTTCAGGGAAAACTGTTCTTCTCTGAGGCTTTTTGAGTGGAACTTAAAGAAAACTGTTTCTTGAATAGTTAAGGAAGAGTATATACATATGCACCTTATATAACTAATATATTAAAATATATATCTCACTGCTCGAGAGTTGAAATATACATAATAATTTATAGTTATATAATATATTATGAATCAAAGAATATATATTAATTACGAATCATATTGACAAAATTGTGGCAAGTGCCACCTGATACCCTTTCTGGTAGAAACATTAAAAACTTGAGGCGAACAATAGAAAACGAACTGCAAATTGTGTGAAGCACTCGACAGCGAAATATTTATGGTTAGCAGCGAATGCTTCGTCGCCTTCGCCATTCTCGCCATCGTCGCCTTCGTCGTCCTCGTCGTCATCGAGCTCTGGCATTGTTGCCTGACGCGCTGAAATTTACATTTTTATCGCTTATCCTGAGCATAAAATAGCGTCCTTTATAATAAACTTTGGCAATGCGCGGCCAATAGTAATGAGCCACCGTCGTCTTGTTGCGCAGCACCACAATCCCGCTAGGCGTCAGGCCCAGAAAGTACTCCACACTGTCCTCGCCCTGAAAAGAAACAGAAAGAAACAACAAATAGAATCGAGAATGAGCTAAGTTCAAGCAGAAGTTCGAGTTAGAGACTCTGCTGGAGAACAAAGGAGAGCCAGAGAGTCTCTCGGACTCCCTTTGGCCTTTGTTTAAGCGCAAAGTTTTTGGCTATTTGTGTGTTAACAAGAGAGCAAAGTTTTGGCCAGCTTGGCCTATTAGCAGCTGTGTGACGCTTTATGGCCCACCCATGTTAACCCACTCGCATAAAGCAAAAAGCACACAAAAACAAAATAAATGTAATTTTAGCTGTTAATTAAATTAAAAAGCAGAACGAGCACAAAGACGTTCCAAAGGAACGAGGGTGAAGAGGAAGAGAGACCCGTGTTGGCTCGCAACTGGCGCCGCGATAGTCAATGATTTGTGTCTATAAACAAACAGAAGTAGACGGGAGCACACATACCACAGGCATGTGGCATGTGGAGTACAAGGGTTTACAGCACCCCTTCGTACGCACTCCGTGCCCCCCTACCCCACACATGTGTAGCTGGCATACAAACACAGCTGGTGATTTATTGAGGTTTGATATCAAAGTAAAGGGCAATAAAAAATGCAAATGAAGTGCCAACTTACGCAGCACAAAAGCGACTACGACATAGGAAACGGACAGAAGGGGAGCGGGGTGGATATCGGAATGGTCTGGACTGGAGACAGACCAGGCTTGTCTGCGGACCCGGGGCACGCAGGGGCCGATCATTGCGTTGGTCCCCAGAAATGTGTGTGAGCAAATGATTTATAATATTTGCCATGAAATGAAATTAAACTTTGCATTTGCTCTGACCCCTTTTATGGCTGGCTGCTTGCCGGGCAGCAGAGGCAGGAGCAGGAGCAGGAGCAGGGGCAGGGGCGATTCAAGCTCCATGATGTGGTTGCTCTTGGGTTAGTAGGGGAGCGAGAGCCAAGCACAACATGTGTACACTTACCAGCACGGGATGCAAGTCAACGCCATACATGTCATGCCATTTGACTTTGTCCAAATAGTTCAGCTCGGCGCTGGACGGCGACATGCCCTTGAGCTGTTGATGCAACTCCGAGACGCGGGTTTCCAGCTCGCTGCTCTGATTGGGCAGCAGGCGAAACTCCGACACATAGCCCTTCGAATGGCGTCGCTGATCATAGTCGCCCAATTCGGCTAGTCATAGATAGATAGATAGATAGATAATAACAAATTCATTTAGCTGATGTCCTCGAGCTTCGTTTGCGGCTTTACTTACATTGCACCACAAAGGCGCCCAGTTCGGCGGCCAGTTCAAAGGCAACGGGCAGGCGTCCCTGTAGCACATCCTGTTTGACTTGCAAGAAAAGTTGATATCTGTCGTATAAATAAAAGTGAACAAATTTAATTAGTTGTCTATATAACCAGTGCAACAACAACAACAGCAACAACAAGAGTAACAACAACCTGTCCTGTAAGCAGTTAACAAGTTGGCAAACAAATCGCCGCATAAAATTATTTGGATACGACTTTGATGTTTGGCCTAAACACACACAAAACGCAACACCCAAACAAACTGTTTACATTGGAAGACAAAATCATTTAACAAATAAACAAGTTGAAGTGGACGACTGGAGAATACCCTGCGAAAGCCAAACTTATATGAACTAAACTCAGGCGGTTGACCGTTTTAAAAGATTTCTAAGATGCTTGCATCGAAAGAAATAAAACAATTGATCACATTTGTGTATATTTTGATTGAACTACATATTAGGGGCAGTGGAGATAACAAATAAGTCAGACATAAGCCTGCATAATTAATTTGCTCCCCAATATGCCCACTTCGGGCGTTTCACTGATTACAACGTGAACAAGAGCGCTGAAGAGGTCTGTATATATGAATATTTCCACAACATATGTGAAGCCGGCTCGAGTTAATTGTTTGCTTAGCGAGCAATTCAATTTGGTCTCATCTATAGATATCAAACGGCTTGCTTGTTATTATCATCGATAGCAAATGAGCAAACTCATTGCAACTATCCTTCAGCTGCCAGCTCGTCGGTGGCACTTGAAGCACAATGTGCCGCATGTCGCATGCAACGCCAAAGTCAATTGGCATTTATTGTGCACCGCAGACTTTGTATAGCTAAAATAACAAAATTTCCCCCACTCGCTGCACTTCAGTAATATTCAGCAAAATCGCCAACTGCCACCGCGTTATAAGTGCATTTCATTTCAGTGCATTTAACTGCATTTCCCTGGATTTATATGCGCCAATATTAGCTCAACCGTTGGCAGTCAGTTCGCGCGAGAGTTTTGATGATGTTTGGCCAGCGATTGGCATCCACTGGCGCCCCACCGTCCCATCGCCATCAGCATGCTCCGTCTCTGTTCCAGCCGTATAGCTCTTCCCAGTGATCCAGTTGGCGTCCCCACTTGGTGACGATTATGGCTGCCACGTTTCGTCGTATTAAGCGCAAATATTTGCACACACCAAATGCTTGATGGATGCAGCTAACTGCATAGCTAAAGCACATTTCGCGTACACATAAGAGTGTTCCATACCACCCCCACCCTCCGCTGAAGCTGACTGCCTGACTGCCTGCCCAATTATACTTCGGAACTTTCACAATTTACCCTACCAAAATTTCATGACGATTGCCATTTTAATACCCTTTTATTACCAACATGATTAACTGAGGGTATACTACTAACGTATTTGCGTACAAATAGATAAATAATTATCAACATCAAAATTATATTAACTCAAATTTAAATATCTACCTAAATTAGCCCTAAAATCTCAAAGCGAAAGCGATAGAAATTATGGATATTTCATATATTCTCCATCATTTCAGGTAAATACCTATAGGGTATCTTCTATCGTATCATGCTCGTTAAACGCATTTTTTATTCAATTTATATTGCTAGCTGTGCATATTATGTATAAATTCATTATTCGCATTATTTCACCATCCATTAGTTGTCTGCCCTCTATCGAGGACCTTTGCCCGTCAACTGGTTGAATTGCATTGCGAGTGTGTGGCAATTAATAAATTGAATTCATTTAATAAAATGCCAAGCATTTCAATGTAAAAAATTGTATTAATGTTTAAAAAAAAAGCGACTGCCCTTAAAAAACGCTTCAGCATTCGCTTAATGGAATTCATTTAATGTAAATATTGTATTTGAAATCATATTTCATGCAGTTTGAGTTTGCAGTTGGAGCTGTTTTAATATTGATTGAACTCACCTCGTTATTTCCTCGAGCAGTTTGCACGGATCGGCCGCATAGAACTTGACACCGAAGTACAAGTCATAGGGATCCGATTTGGGTTTCAGTTGGCGAGAGATGCGTGACGCTGGATCCAGCCAGTGCTGTAGAACGAAATAGAAGAATAAATTTCAAATTGATAACGCCCACGACGCGCAGGTGTGCGCGTCAGCTGGGGGACGACAGGTAAGCCCATATGCCCGTTTTTATAGCCAAACATAAAAGCTGCAGACGACACGCGGGCACTAATGTGCGTGTGGCAAATGGCATAAAAGTGAATTTCAATGAAAGGCCAAGGCAACGCGCGCCCCTTGCTGCGCTGCTTCCTGCCGCCTCACGACAGTCTGAAAGCGAAATTATATAATTTGGCTTGCGGGCGTGGGTGTCTCGCCGGCTGCGTCAAAGGCTCAAAGAGTTGGCCGAGCTCGACTTTTTGTTTTCCTTTCTTAACGCCCCTCAATGCGCCTCAATGAATTTCAATGAAAACGAAAATGAATTTCAAAAACCAATATGTTTGCACAGCAGCAGCAGGAGCAGCAGTAAGAGCAGAGGCAGGATGCGCCAGTCAGTTGCCATATCCTGCACGCAGGACGCCATCCCTGCCGCCACTTACCGTTTGATTCTCGTCGTCTATATAGCGAATGCCAAAGTATGAAGTCTCGATTAAATTGAGCCTGGCAAAAATGACATCCAGCAGAGCTTGGCCCGGCAAATCATCCTGAAAATAGACAAGAAAATTGTTGTTAAAAGGCTGTGCAGCAGCAGTATAGATAAAGGCGGTATGAGATGATGATGAGAGATAACAAGAGCGAGAAAGAAAGAGAGAGAGAGAGAGACAGAGAAAGAGACTGAGTGCAGATAGAGATATCGTTGGGCAAGCAAGGCGCTGGCAAAATCTATTCAATGGCAAAGCAAACACTTGGAGCCTTGAAACACTGAAACACTGGCAAACTGTTGAGCCATTGAATGGACACAGCCATTGCCCCGTTTGCTATCTTGTCGTCCTGCTGTTCCGCTCAGCGCTTGCTGCTATCTTCCTGCTTGGCTGCGTCCGGTCAACAAAAGTGAAAACTTGCCGGCGACAATTATTCAATTGGAAAATTGCGCCTTTTTTTCCAGATAAAAAGCATTGTGCACTAAATGCCACGCCTTGGTCCAGACAGGGGCGCAGACTGGCCCCCATTTCAAAATTTGTTTGCTGCTGTTGCTGTCATTGTCGTTGTTGTTGTTGTTGTTGTTGTTGATTTAATTTAATTCGTGTGAGGGCTGCAAACGCTTTAAAAAGCCAATTTTTGTTTTTTGGCTTTCGACTAGCGCCAATAATAAATTGAGTCGATTCCCCAAGGGCGCTCGGGCACAGCTGCAACCGCAAAACAGCCAAACTATGGATCAGGAGGCGCACCATTGTTAACCACAAACCCACACACATTCCACATGCCACATGCTGCATGCTACATGCTACACGCCACATGGTTGCTTCTTCATTGTCTGCCGCAGCTGGCGCTCAACATGTTTGATTTTTGGCGCTGACCAGACACTCCAGAGCGTCACTAGACCCTTTCTGACTTCTCGGGCTAGCTACATTTTTTGTTGCGTTTTTTTTCCTGTTTTGCTTTGGGGAACAGACGTGGGCTGGGCTGGGATGGGATGGGATGGGAAGGGGCGTTGGGTTTGGCTTGGGCAAGCCCAACACTGCCATGTTTTATTTATAGTATTTTTGGCTTGGCCAAACATCCCCTGGTGGCCAGTGAGATGCTCGCCATTCAGCGTGCATCCCTTTTGTATTGGGCATGTTTCATTGTTGTTGCGTCATAAACTTAATGGTCGCCGAGTGTGAACAGTCCGAGGCCGAGTCTACAGCATTGGCAGCGCCTTTCGAATTTATGTTAAACCTTTTGCTGACCAACAAAAGGACAAACAAACTCCACAGAAATGAACTGCTGAAAGCGATTGTAAGATGTCACTTGGGAATTGAGGAGCGAGGAAATGCGCTTGCCTTGCGATAATCTGTATATGACAGCACGTGCAGTCGGTCCTTCAAAAGGTCAACCTGGAATTGACCTCTCGCCTGCCGCTGCTTGGCATTGTAATCCTCAGTCATGTATGTAATGTGAATAATACACAAAAACTAATTGTCAATTGTATGGCATAACGAGAAGGAACGACGGAGCCGTACGACACATTGACACTGACAGCTGGTAAACTCCTAATGCAATGTCCTGTACAATTGCATTAGAAATACGAGAGTACGTGTACAACAGGACATTGTGCAGGCGAGCACATTAAACAATGACTCGTAAAATGCTCAACTACAACCAGTGCGATGGATGTCCTTATTCTTGCTTTCAATTTGCAACCATTGCCAGCTGCATGTCGCCAGTCGCCAGTTGCCAGTCGCCAGTTGCCAGTTGCCTGTTGCCTGTTGCTTGTTGCTGCATTGTTGTCAGTGCTTTTACGTAAGGACATAAGTAGAAAAGTGCATTTTAAAAATGTATAAGCTCATGTAGCTCGTGATATCGCTTTCTGCAGTTTACTTGGAAACCGAGTTTCCAGCACAGCGAAAATCTGCCAACTCTATCTCGCAAATAGAATACTTAATGTGTAATTTAATCTGTTATAAGAGCTTGGCACCTTTCTAGAACAAACTGCTTTATGTGGTGCAGTGGAAAATGGAGATATTTTATAAGTGCTTCAACTGAAAGTAAAGACTTTGAAGAAATTGCATCTTTATATAAACATTTTGAGCAATATTGTGTAAAAGCTTGCTTCACCAGAAATTGCTTAAGCGTCAAACGTCACTGAAATGCTTAAAACTACATTGGGGATTAGCCTCTACTAAAGTCTCAGAGAAATCTGTAATCGCTTGAGCAATTTGTAGAGTAAGTCATTTTGGGTTATCCGCACTTTAAGACTCTTAAAGGTTATTTAGCCTCATCAATAGGAAAGCGGAGCTTCAAACTAATATAGACCATTCATTTCGTTTCTAATGAACTACGCCTCATGCATGCCTAAAAGCCTTTAACGAACTTATGGCTTAAAATCAACGTAACATGTAAAGGCCGCAATGGCCAGCAATTAATCACAAACTCGGCTCAAGTCCGGAAAAACTTGTGCATTTAAGTCCCAAAAGGTTTGACCAAGTTGTCTGGCAGGCAGCCAGACAGGCAATGAGGGCTGGCAGGGGGGCGGAGCCCACCCTCGTCTCTGGTTATTGGTTTTGGTCCGTAAGTCACTTGGTTGCCGGGTTCAATAAATTACGTTCGCCTTGCTGGGAATCAATGATGTATACAAGTCGAGGGCATCAAAGGCTGGCAAAAGTGGTGATTTTTCGATGAGCCATGAGCCATGAGCCAGCCCGATGATTATGTTGATGCTAATGATGATTAGGTATTTGGCTTAAATGTCTTAATCAAATTATGCTTACTTTGATGTTTCTAGAGTAGCTGTTGGCGTCGACTGACGGCAAATCCAACGTCAACGCCAACACCATCGCCATTGCCATCGCCATCGCCATAGACAGCCGGAAAACCCACTTAATGAGCTTACACTTTTAGCCACTACCACACCCAGAGCAGCTGCGCTGCTCCACATTGAACGACCACTCCAAATGCCCTATATACTGAAGTTGTCTGTATTTTTACCAAGCGCTTTTCTTGTCAGCTGTCGGCAAAGAACTTTTGCCATGCAACTTAATTAGTGAGCGGCAAGTGGAATACAAGAAAATATACCACATGCGCGTGTGTGTCTCCACTTTGCCACACACACACTCGCTTCATGCTGCCTGCCTGCCGTCTAAAGACGACGGGGGCGACATTTTCCGAAACTTCCCCAGCCCACAAAATCCCGGCAGCGTCTTTTGGTTAACTTAATCAACGCCATTGCCGCTAAAACTTTGGCTACGTGACTAACCCACATTGCCACGACCAGGGAATTGTGTGAAAAATGAATCACAATCCGAGTCTGAATCTGACTCTGGATCTGAATCTGAATCTGGGCCCTGATGTGCAACATCTTTGAATTTAACATAATTAACACATAGTTTCCTCTGTCAGGCGCTGGGATTATCCAGCGCAACTTTGTGCGCAATTAGCCACTCAGTGCAACTTATTTGGTCTGGTGCTCCGAAAAGCTGAGATTATGCCTCTACAAATGTATGAATGTATCTCTGTGTCTGTAGCACTCTAGCTGCATCTGGCTGTGTGTATCCCTAGCTGCTTTTGCTGTCTTCCCCGATTGCATTGTGCGTTTAATTGCGCTGCTTGGCTTAAACGTGCGCTGACCTTTGACAACGATATAACAACAACAAACACGCTCACACACACACATGCACACACTTGTTTGTGTTTATAACGGCATTATGAGTTTTAAGCTGCTGCCAGCAAACAAAGCCAGGGAAAAAGCAAAAATAAAAAAATATATATAGAAAAAAAAAATAAATAAAAGAGGCAACGCAGTCGTTGGCAATGTCAGAGACAAAACGGCGACACAGAGAAGAGAGCCGAAGCAGAGTATGGGGCAGAGCAATGGCAGCTACATCGTGTCGCAGTCGTCGACATCGTCAACGTTATGCACAAAACAAGCTGGAGCCGAAATGCTTAAAACAGATTTATGTCCATGCCGCCTCGACTCCTGCCCCGCCCCGCCCGCCTCTCACGGCACATACCAATTGAGGATGAAACGTTGATGCTGGCGCATCTTCACCTAACTGAAAACACATTCAACAAACGAGATTTGCGTAATTCCTTCAGCTCAGTCAAGGTTCGTCCCGGCTTACTATTTGTCGGTTTGTAGCCGCTGTCGGGAGATGCCTCAACATTTTGCATACTCTTATCGAAGTAGGGCATAGTATAAGCCTTCAGCTAGTTGGTCACATTCGTGCAATGCTCTTAGGCCAGGACTAAGATCAACTAGTACTAATTAGCTACTAAGGTTTTACTAAAGAGGTAAGAAACATTATTCTTTTTCTGCTATTCTAACATAATAAAAATGATTTTAATTTTTGTATTTTTATTGTTTTCTCAATAACCTCAACCTGTTAAATATTTTTAATAATTTCAGTATTCTTGCTTTTTCAATAATTTTAAAGAGATACAAAATATGAATATTTTTCTGTTTTTCCACCTTGATAAACATTTTTTAGATTTCAGTATTTTTATTATTTTTCTGACATTTCAAAGAGTTAAACAATGTTATTATTTTTTTTGTTCTTTCAATCAGTGAAGTAATTTTAAAATTTCTGTATTTTTCAATGCTTTTTCAATCATTTTAAAATACTCTTCGCTTTGTCTAACATTGAGCACATGTGTGCACCAGTTGTCAATAATCTCTTATAAGAGCAACTCAGCTTCTGCTACACTTGTCCTCTAGTTTTATTTGCGCTGCTAGATCTTAGGGGCTTGCTGTCTGCTTACGGGAGTTTTATTTCACATGCCACGCCAGGCACAAAGCCTGACAATGCTGCATGCGGATGGCCTTAGTCTCTGCTCAGCTTCCAGTCGCAGCTCAAGCCATACGATGCGATGCGATGCGATGCGATGCGATGCGATGCCATGCGAATGCAATATGAGTTAAGAGCACACTCATTCGTCCATTCTCATAGCGGCACTTTTTGCTTTCTAGGCTATGTCATTCGCTGGTTGTCAGTTGTCAGTTGTTGTCAGTTGGTCCCTGTTCGTTGGCCCCGTTGACATTTTGCGCATCTTTTTGGCTTTGGCAGTG